ATCTGGTGAACTGGAAAAGTTGTAAATGTATAAAAGGTGATGTATAAAATGTGAACTGGAAATGTTGTTTTAATGCAATGGAGCGCTGGGTGGCGAGCAAAATGGTGAAGTGGAAAAAAGTGTTACTGCTGTTATAGGCAAGCAAGTTAATTTTGGCTTGGAAATAAATATGAATGAGACAAATTATTTAATACCTTCACAACATTTACCGTTAGGAATTAAGACATTGTGCTGATATTAATGTGTGACATTCTGACATATTCCCGAGCCAAACTAAACTGAAGGGTCGGACATCATCTCACATATGTCCGACCCAAACTCACAGTCATCGGACATTTCGTCAGACGGCCCTGTAAAAGATATTTTAAGGCCTGAAACATCCGACCAAATTTGAAAGTTTCCGATCAAATTTCAGTTTGGTCGGACATATTTTCTGCTCAATTTTTGAACATTATTTCAGGCTCTGAAATTGAGTGTAAACGCCTTGAAGTAATGTTGACCTTAGCAGTATTTTTAAAAGCTCTGTATCGACTCAAAATGCCGAACACACGAGTTACTATGAAGAAACGACTGATATAAAACAATCCGCTTTTGCAGTTTTAATTTTAGGATTTTGTGATGTCACGTACAACCCACGTCTAACAGCTAAATATGTTTCCCTGTTGCACAGGTCAAGCGAGGTTGACTGGTGCATTTTGTGATTACGAAGAAAAGGATAAAATGTCACATCTACACGAGGTTCATAAATCTGGCGTATGTAACATTGAAATGGAGTCATTATGTTTTGCTGCTATGTGCAGAAGAGCGGGGATAGCAGCAGCAGTCGTGTGTGTGACACTCGTGAACAGATTACAAGGAGATCAAGTTCATCTTAAACCCGAAGATCACGAGGATTATCAGCTTAGACCGATGAAGCTTATCATAACTTACATAATAAACCAACTCGTAAAGAATAGACAGAAATAGTTGGTAATTTCTATAATAGTAGCCTATCGAAGGGAAGATGGCTGTGAAACTCATTAGAATAACAATATAACTCATTATCTATGTTAGTCAACCTTTATTCATAACTCTGGTCCTTTATCGTCATGTGTGTATTGTATTTTTGCCAAACCAACCAATACATGTGTGTATTGTATTTTTGCCTATTGTTCGAGTCACGGATAGGTAACTTTCCTAAAACATTGTATTGGTGTTAGTTGGGCAAAAATACAATACGCGCACGTGACGGTGAAGGACCAGATTTATGAATAAACGTTAACTAACATAGACGAGTTTTTTGTTATTCTAATGAGTTTCACAGCAATCTTCCCTTCGATAGGATATGGTTCAGAATTGAGTCGGTTTCAGCAAAAAGATCCTTTACTACAGGTTCATATTATGGTCTTTTTTGAGGGGACTGGGGGTATTTGTCTACATTTACTATATTATACTAGCAATACAACTCTATAGGTAAAATAATAATAATTTTTCTTCATAATAATTGTTTTTAATGATTATTAATCATCATAATAATTAATCTTTCAAGTGCTTTAACGAGACAGTGCATGTATCTCGGTCTTAACAAAATCTAATCAGGTTTAAATTGATAAGGTTCGTAATTCCATTGGGGCTAGGTGTGTATACAAAATTTGGGAACAGTATTTGTACTGTAGTCTCTGAAATGGCATTCTGAGGAAAATTTCATAGAAAAGTCTTCGATAAAAATCTTAACCATATGATTTGACACCGTAGTCATCCAGGTTCCTCCGTCTTGAATATCCGTGAGATCAAACGTCTCGCATCACTAGAATCTTACTACCGTACACTACAATACACATTTGTCGTTATCAAACGCCATTGATATTTGTATTTTGTAAAGAATCGACCACTATTTCTTCCAGTTTCTAAAAATTTTTATACAAAGTTTTAAGGCTGGTTTATCTCAAAGTTTCTGTGATCACAGTAGTAATTTTGCATGGATAAGTTTTGAAGGATTTGTAAGTTTGAGGGAAGTGACTCAATGTTAAACAATATGAAGTCAGTTTCCTCAAACTTACAAATCCATTAAAACTCATTTACCAATGAAAAATTCCTACTGTGATCAATATATATAAGGGACATTCGTCCTATGGTCAGCAGAGCTGTAAGCAAAATCTCGCTTCTCTTCGGAGTCGGCCCAATCTGCCAACTTTACCAGTACGTTGTAAGTTTGCATGGCAAGCAACATAATAGACCATCTTCTAATCGAATAGGTCACAGTAAGGCCAATGGACGAGTTGATCTAGACGAGTCTAGACAAAAATTTCATCACAGCTTGAAAGAGCGTCACAAAATTAGTAATATTCCGACGTTTCGTTGCAAAATGTTGTAAAATGCGGATAATGTAGCCCTGCGAAATTTGCAATTTTCAGTCATTTTGTATTACAAACGGGAAATTGATGCCCCAACACCCGATTGGGCTGTCAATTTCCCATGCGTAATACAAATGACTGAAAAACGGCAAACTTCGCAAGGCTATATTATCCGCATTTTACAACATTTCGCAACGAAACTTTGGAATATTACTAATTTTGTGATGCTCTTTCAAGCTCTGATGAATTTTCGATCAAAATTTTGGTTATAAGGGGAAAGGTCCATTGAATCCGCTTAAAAACGTGGTAAAGGTCTGTTGGTCTGGTTTTGTGGAAAACGATTTTCTACTGCATTTAGCAAGGCTGTGGAGATGAACATCATTTAACTTATTATTCGCAATGTCATTATTTGTGTGGGATAACCATTCATTTCGAAATGTATAGAGCCACCCACCTCCGCCAAGCGATAAAAACATAGTCTCGGTAGGCCACTATGAATGGATGATTGATGATGACCTTACTGTGACATATACACTGATGAGTGGGCTTCTTCGTTAATTTAAATACTGGAAAATTCCCATGGATTAACCGCTGGTGACCCTCGACAACCCGTGCCATGTATATTATACATGTATACTGTAATATCTACAGTTCACCCTTTTGAACGATGGTCTTTAATGTGAATTTATCGTTGGGAGCGAAGTTGGCAAGACTTTTTGTAAAAATATGTGATATTGCAACGCATATATGGTAGTAAAATATTTAATCAAATATACGTTGGCTATTTTAAACGTAAGCGAAAATATTTACATAATTCACATATTAATCCTAAATATATCAATCTTTCGTTTGAATTTATTCTCAATATATCTTAGGACGCGTTTAGATTCAGTTAAGATGTAGATTTATTGCAAAATCTATAAAATTCTACCCTTCTAGTACAAATATTCACAAACTTAATTGAAAAAGTTGATGTCGTGCGCATGCTAGCATCACATTATGAACCATAATTCACAAGGCTGCACTGTGAAAAGATCATACAGTACATCATGCAAGTGACTTATAATTCAGTGACTATATTCAGTACCTGTGGTTTGCATTCCTCTTCCAGCCATTTAAAAATGGATGCGGACAGTGTTGAAAAACTTGTCACATGAGCAGCATTGTTGAATGAACTAAATTGTGCATCCATGATTCGCTTGAACTACGTAGAAAAATATAAATATTATTTGAGTTGATAATTGTACCAAATGATAGAATACAACACGTACAGCTCGCTCGAAACGTCGAAGTTCCGCTTATATTTTTCACACTACAGCTTATTACTTTTTAAGAAAATATATGACAGTTTGATCGGGATACGAGAAATTGTCCATATCGACGACACTGTACAGTACATTCGTTCACATACTGTAATTATAGTTATCTCTTATTATATATTATTAGTATAATTACATTTAACAATTATTCGCCGAAAGCGAGGTGATTATCGGGAATATTCGTCAAGACGAAGTCGAGGTGAATATTCCCCGACAATCACCGAGCCTGAGGCGAATAATTGTTTTAGTATTTTTGCACAAGTTTTTTTGTGTTTTTTTCTGGTCTGAATTCATTTTAATTTTGCTTATTTCTTTATCACTAACTTCGACAAAACGGCTAGCCGCCATTTTGAAAATTTCGAATACGTCAAATTCGACCAATCACCTTGTAGAATTTGTTATGTTCACTTGTGCAAAAATACTAAAGGTGAATATTGAAAATTCTCCACGCTGATTGGTTGCTGATGAGGTGATTATAACGCGATAAACATCTAAAAAGCGCAAGCCATTTTGTCGGAAGAGATTATTTCCCTCGCCTCAGAGTGACAAA